GTTGGCCCATCATCTTTCTGCTGCTCTCCAACTCCCTAACATTCAAGGTCTACCATAATCAAATTCAATAGCACTCTTTTTTTTTTTTTTTTTTTTTTTTTCATCCTGCTACCTGTTGGCAGCTCAGCGGCAGCTCGGCTAGGGCCGGGCATTGAACTGCTGTTGCTCAGAGCTNAACACCTTAATAATACTATTACCTATATTGTAAAAGAAATTTTTAGAAAAATGACAGAATAGAAGAAAATAGTGTAACACAAATGATGCTAATATATAAAGAGTATAAGTCAATAAGAAAAAAATAGAAAATATAGTACAGGATAGGAACAAACAAATCAAGAAAGAAGAAATACAAATGAGTAAAAGATACTATGATCGCTCATTTTTAAACACTTTCCTTAAAAGTTATAAATATAGAGTAATGCTGGATTAGTATGTACGTTAGGAGCACTGCAAGCAAGACCAAGTATATAAAATTCCTCAGTAAGTAGTAGTCTCACCATCAATACACAGTAGTTTGTTCTTTCCCCACACCTGAGTATACAGCAGGATAATCTTGATATGACTGCAAAAGGCACTGATTTTTAAATTTTAGTTTACACAGGCTAATGAGAGATATTACCATATAATTTAGAAACCCAACATATTCAGAGGTGTATAATATTTAAACAGTTATGGGCATCATGAAAACACAAAAGCAAAGGTAACAAGAGAAAACGCCTACCTTCCCTGATAGCTGTGAAAGGTGTACCTTCTTCTTCTTGCAGCCTGATCACCTTCAGGGCTACCAACTTCCCATTTACCCTGGAAAAAAAAGAAAAGAAAAGATGAGAAGCAAATCCATTAAAATATGTTCCTGTTATGGTTCTATAATCATGTTCCTTACTTATTTTTTTTTTGCACTGAAAATGTCAGTGACTCAATTATGCTGCCACAACAAGATTAATTTCAATAATGTTGGGAATTCTATAGCATCATCATACATATTCACACTTTAAATATTCACATTTTAAATATTCACACTTGCGTAGTTCAAGATTTAACTGAAGTTTTCTGTGATTCACTCTGTGTTCTTTCCAGAATGAAACTAGTGCTTAACAAAATCACCAACCATGCTTCGACAGTTATTCTCTGATTAATTAAAAGTCAAGCTGTCAAAATAACTCTCTCCCTTTGTTTCTCCAATAGCTCCTTTGTTTCTTTCACTGGAATGTCTTCATTTCAGTTTTAAAACGAGGTCATTCAATCCCCAAGGACAGAAACTTGACACTCAGCCTTCGCTCTTCTCTCTCTTTCAACATCACCCATCCCTCCTTTTTTCAAGATTTTTTCTTACTAGAGCATCCTAAAATTATATTTGGTCTGATTGTGTTTTATAATACAGTATATCATCAAAATAAAAGTTATGAATATTTTACTATTACAAATTACACAAGACCTATCCAAAGCAGATGGTTCTTCCAGACGCATTCTAAATATGTATCAGCTTTAATTAAAAGTAAGAATGTGCTAGGCAGATAAGTTTTTATCCAGTCAATTCTATTAACAAAAACATGACTATCTATTATAGTCTTCTAGTTGGATGCTCTCCTTTCTATCTGTACTAGACCATGCAGCCAGCATATTCTGTTAATTAAAATAGGTAAAACATGCATACATTAATAATTTTGTTGAAAGATACAAGGCATTTGATGACAAGTAAATCTCCCTGCCACAGCCTCCCTCAGCCACCCAGCTCCAGTCCTCAGAGGTTATCATTTACCATTGTTCATATGCACTTACAATGGCTTTCAATCTCATCACAGCCATTACCCTTTTTATATAACAAATACTTTAAGAAGATACCTTTACTACTAATGAAGTGAAATTCATAGATAATAGGATCTGTGTACACACATAATTTCAAAAATGTACACATATAATTTCAAATGTATATCTATCCATAAATGAAACTCAAAAAAGAAATAAAAAATAATTTATAATAATATAACGTATTAAATATATAAATAATCAGGCAAAACTATACTGGAATTCATAATAAAGAGTGGTACTCACATCTATATATAGAATCAGCATGAATACAACCACTACAAATTCAGACTGACTGAGAGTGTTACATTAGCAACTTAAATAACACAAACAGTAATGCCATTAGAGAAGTAACTTTGCAAAATGGTGAACAAATTTTAGTAACATTTGAAACAAAACAAAATACAATTTTCCTTTGATTTACACTGCAACTGTCTGTATTCCTAGAAAATTTGGTACATGTTAAATGTATGCAGGGCATACTTTGGGTTTATATGTGAAACAGTTGAGTTATAACCTAAGACAAATATAAACAGGTTTTCACCTGCATAAATGACCGGTAGGGCATTCAAAAGGCTTATGGGACATAAAACAATTGCTCATTGTATTAAAACGGGGGTTGACAAACTTGGTAAAATACCAGACTGTCTATACTTTAGGTTTTGTGGACCATACACTCTGTCACAACCACCTGATTCTAAGAAAGCAGCCGTAGAAAACACATAAATGAATGGAAGTGCTGTATTCAAATAAAAGTTTGTTTTCAAAAACTGGCAGTGGATCTCAGACTGTAGTTTGCCTAACACTGCATTAGAATGTCCTACATATTGCAGGATGCCCAGCTCCTATCCATTAAATGCCCGCTGTAATATCCAACGACTGTGATGACACTTCCTATGCAGTAATCACCACCCCACCCTCCTACCCGCACCAAATGAGAACTCATGACCTAAATAGTCCTATTCATTGCACTTGAGCTTTCTGGTCTCAGTTCCTTTTCTATACCTATGTGCAACTTGTCCTCAATCCACTCTTTATTGCTTGTCTCTCTTATGCCTCATTCAAGACCCAGCTAACACCTTATCTCCCTTGACTAATGTAGGAATTTCTCTAAAACTTAAAATTTTTTAGAAATGATTTGGCATCGTAATGCCACCTAACATTACCTAATATTATTCCCCAATTATAATCTATATATTTTGTTTCCCACCTGGAAGACAGAGTCCTTGAGTCTGTGTCTAATATTCTGTCATATTTACAGACTCTAGCTCAATGGTTTTCCTGAACTTGCTCAACAAATATTATGATTAGCATGCTCGACATTGAGGGTATAGCAGTGAATAATCAGACACGGTCCCTGTCACTAAGATTGTACACTAGTAGGGAGGAGTGAAAATAATTAACTTCAGATTCCAATAAGACCTATAAAGAGAAGAGGTAGTGACATGGCGAGTAAACAGGGTAAGATGATGGTCAGCTGGGATTTTAGACATGATGGTCAAAGGAAAGCCGTCTGAAAAGAGAACATTTAAATTGACCCCTGGCATCCGAGAAGAGCCAGGGGAGAGCAGCCGCGGGCAACGGCAAGTCGAAAGTCCTCAACACAGGAAATTTTGTAGCATGTTTGGGGAAAAACAGGTCATACAGTACTTGAAATTGAGGCTTTTAAGTAAGAAGTGACATTATATGATTTAGGGTTTTAAAAAGATGATCCTGATTACAGAGCAGAGAAGGGACAATAGGAAGATAAAAGAAGGAGAGAGTACAATTAAGAGGTTGTTGCAGAATTCCAAGCAAGAACTCATGATACCCTGGACTGGGGGTGGCAGTAAAGAGAGAGAAAGGAGACAGATTTCAGATGTCTTTTAGAGAAGTAACTTCTAGGACTTTTTCATGGGCTAGATTTGGGGAGGAGGAACACTGGGTGCTACTATTATTAATATTGAGGGAGAGGGAATGGTTTGAGTGATGGTGGAGGAACCATGAGTTCCATTTGGATGCGTTGAGATGACTGTTACGCATTGATTGATTTTTCAAGGTTGAGCCAGCCTTGCATTCCTGGAAAAAACCTCACTTGGTAATGACATATTATCCTTTTGATACATTACTGGGTTCAAGAGGCAATGCCAGGTAGGCAGATGGCTATATAAGAATGGAGACAAAGACAAGGTCTTAGCTAAAGAGAGGCAATGTATAGGCCATCAGCTCCTAGTTCCTATTTAAACTCGTGAAATAATAAAATCACATGGGGAAGAGTGCTGATTAAAGAAAAGAAGGGTCCTTCCCTGTTCTAAAATTCCCTAATATTTAGAGAAGGAGCCGGCACAAGAGAAAGAGAATAAACTACCTACTTGGGAAATCTAGTGTCACAGAAGATAATGTTCCAACCCTGTACGATCTGCTAAAAGGTTTGGTAAATTAGGACAAATACTGTCCTATTTGATTTGGCAATAAGAAGGCATTGATGAAATTTACGAGAACATTTCAGCTAAATAGGAATGATGGAAATCAAACATACGTGGTAGGAAAAAGAGAGTGAGAGGTGAGAAACTGAAAACAGAAAGAAGACTTCTCAAAAATAAATGTAATTCATAAGGACAGTTGTGGGGAAAAAAATCAGACCAATGACAGAATACACTTAGTTCATCAACACCTTAATAATACTATTACCTATATTGTAAAAGAAATTTTTAGAAAAATGACAGAATAGAAGAAAATAGTGTAACACAAATGATGCTAATATATAAAGAGTATAAGTCAATAAGAAAAAAATAGAAAATATAGTAAAGGATAGGAACAAACAAATCAAGAAAGAAGAAATACAAATGAGTAAAAGATACTATGATCGCTCATTTTTAAACACTTTCCTTAAAAGTTATAAATATAGAGTAATGCTGGATTAGTATGTACGTTAGGAGCACTGCAAGCAAGACCAAGTATATAAAATTCCTCAGTAAGTAGTAGTCTCACCATCAATACACAGTAGTTTGTTCTTTCCCCACACCTGAGTATACAGCAGGATAATCTTGATATGACTGCAAAAGGCACTGATTTTTAAATTTTAGTTTACACAGGCTAATGAGAGATATTACCATATAATTTAGAAACCCAACATATTCAGAGGTGTATAATATTTAAACAGTTATGGGCATCATGAAAACACAAAAGCAAAGGTAACAAGAGAAAACGCCTACCTTCCCTGATAGCTGTGAAAGGTGTACCTTCTTCTTCTTGCAGCCTGATCACCTTCAGGGCTACCAACTTCCCATTTACCCTGGAAAAAAAAGAAAAGAAAAGATGAGAAGCAAATCCATTAAAATATGTTCCTGTTATGGTTCTATAATCATGTTCCTTACTTATTTTTTTTTTGCACTGAAAATGTCAGTGACTCAATTATGCTGCCACAACAAGATTAATTTCAATAATGTTGGGAATTCTATAGCATCATCATACATATTCACACTTTAAATATTCACATTTTAAATATTCACACTTGCGTAGTTCAAGATTTAACTGAAGTTTTCTGTGATTCACTCTGTGTTCTTTCCAGAATGAAACTAGTGCTTAACAAAATCACCAACCATGCTTCGACAGTTATTCTCTGATTAATTAAAAGTCAAGCTGTCAAAATAACTCTCTCCCTTTGTTTCTCCAATAGCTCCTTTGTTTCTTTCACTGGAATGTCTTCATTTCAGTTTTAAAACGAGGTCATTCAATCCCCAAGGACAGAAACTTGACACTCAGCCTTCGCTCTTCTCTCTCTTTCAACATCACCCATCCCTCCTTTTTTCAAGATTTTTTCTTACTAGAGCATCCTAAAATTATATTTGGTCTGATTGTGTTTTATAATACAGTATATCATCAAAATAAAAGTTATGAATATTTTACTATTACAAATTACACAAGACCTATCCAAAGCAGATGGTTCTTCCAGACGCATTCTAAATATGTATCAGCTTTAATTAAAAGTAAGAATGTGCTAGGCAGATAAGTTTTTATCCAGTCAATTCTATTAACAAAAACATGACTATCTATTATAGTCTTCTAGTTGGATGCTCTCCTTTCTATCTGTACTAGACCATGCAGCCAGCATATTCTGTTAATTAAAATAGGTAAAACATGCATACATTAATAATTTTGTTGAAAGATACAAGGCATTTGATGACAAGTAAATCTCCCTGCCACAGCCTCCCTCAGCCACCCAGCTCCAGTCCTCAGAGGTTATCATTTACCATTGTTCATATGCACTTACATACACACACACAAACACACATACACACGCACACATGCACACATGTATATATACACACAATACATACACACACACATACACAAAAGGTCGTACGCCATACTATCAGTGCATAGATACTGTTTTTTAACCACTTAATATATTTTGGTGACTTCCTCATAAGTGCACAGAAAACTCTCTTGCGTTAGAAGACCACCGGGTATTCCTTTATATGAGTGTGGTATGCTTAATTGAATCCCCGTCCTCTACTGATAGGCACTTAGCACGTTCCCAATTTTATCTACTAAAACAATCATGCAATAAATATTTTGGATATGTAATTTCATCCATGTAAAAATATGCCTGTAAGATAAATTCCTAAAAGGGGAATCGCAAGATCAAAATGTATTGGTATTGCTAAATTCTAGCCCTGATGAATACTGGGAACTTGTCCTGCCTAGAGGCTGTACCAATTCACACT